CCACAATGTCTTGGGAGACACTCGATCAGGTCCTGGGGATTTATTTACGTTTATGCGTTTTAAGACCTCCGGCACCTTGTCTTCTGTAATATGGACTCTTTTGAAGACATCACTATTTATTTCCTCTCATTCTGTAGCTTGCATGTCTTTCTCCACAGTAAATACTTAGGAGAAATATTCATTTCTGATCTCATCCACCTTTACCTGCGAACAGCAACCCCCAATCAACTTTTGAAAGTTCCTGTCTAATGGCGTCAAAATTGGCCTTGCCCCAATTTAGAACTTTAACTTAGTGGAACAGACTTGTCCTTTTCCATAACTATTTTAAAACTGATACAAGCACGGTCACTGGTCTCAAAGTGCTCCCCTACTTGCACTTCAGTCACTTGCCGTGACTTATTTCCTAAGAGAAGTTTGAGTTTGCCCCTTCTCTAGTAGGCCATCTACATATTGATTGAGAAAGTTTTCCTAAACATACTTAACAAATTCCTCCCCATCCAAGCCCTTAATATTATGATAGTCTCAGTCTACGTTTGGAAAGTGAAAATCCCCCCACTATTACAACCCTGCTATTCTTCAAACTATCTGGCATCTCGGTACACATTTGCCCTTTAGTTTCCTGCTGACCATTGTGGGCACCTGTAGTGCAATCCATTAAAGTGATCACCTTCTTGTTTCTCAGTTCCACCCATATAGCTTCACTGGACAATCCCCCAGGAATATCCTCTAAGTAAATGCTGTGATGTTCTCCCAAATCAAAAAGTGCCACTCTCCCTCCCCTCTATCCTCCCTATTGCATTTGCACCATGGAACATTGAGCTGCCACTCCTGTGCCTCCCTTGGACGTGTTTCTGTATTGGCTGAGATGTCCCTGTCCTATGTTCCCATCCACGCCTTGTGTTCATTAGCCTTATCTGTCAGGCCTCTTGCATTGAAATAGATGCACAAATTGTTGAAGGTAGCAAGGCAGGTTGAGGAAATGTTTAAAAAGGCATGTTGAATCCTGGGATTTATAAGTAGGAATGAGCAAAAGCAAGAAACTTCAGATGGACCTTTATAAATCATGTGATTGGTTTCAATTGAAGGATTGTGTCTAATTCCGGACACCATCCTTTAGAATGATTGTGAAAACTTCGGAGGCAGTGCAGAACAGGTTAATGAAAATAGATCCAGGATAGAAGGACTTTGGTTCCACGGCTAGATTGTAGAATCTGGGATTGTCTTCGGAGTTGAGAAAGGTGAGACAAAATTTGGAAGGAGTCTTCAAAATCATGAGATGTTATAGGGTAAGATTGGGGAAGTGAGACTTTATGGAATGTGGGTATGGCTGGCAAGGCTGGCATTTATTTTCCTCCATTAGGGACATAGGAACAGGAGCCCCTCGAGTCTGTTCCACCATTCAATGTTTCATCTGTGGCCTAACTCCATATGCTTGACTTTGGTCCATTTCAATTAATCCCTTTGCTGAACAAAAATGTATCTATCATATTTAAAGTTAGCAACTGATCTAGCATTCACTGCTGTTTGTTCCAAACATCTACCACCCTTTGGGTCTTGAAGTGCTTCCCAACATCCCTCCTGAACGGTTTGGCTCTAATTCTTAGACTATGCACTCCAGTTCGAGGATCCGAATAGCTTACCTTTATCTACCCTGTCTTTTCCTGTTATTATCCTGAAGACTTTGATCAGATCACCCCTTAACCTTCTAAGTTCTATAGAAAACAAACCTAATTTGTATAATGTCTCCTCATAACTTAAACCCCTGAAGTCCAGTTATCATTGCCTTTGAACTCAACAGTTTACAGTGTTGTTTAAAAGGGTAGTTAGGAGTTAGCTAGAATGCTGTGGGTCTGGGGTCACAAGTAGACCAGACCAGAACAGATAAGAATGGGAGATTTCCTGCCATAAAAGATATTAAAGAAACAAATGGGATTTCATGATTATCAATGATAGCTATTGTCATCACCATTACAAAGACTAGCTTTTCTATTCCGGGTTTATTGAGTTTAAATTTCACCAGCTACCATGATGGGATTTGTTCCCAAAGCATATCTTGGGCCTCAGGATCACTAGTCCAATGACATTACCGCATGCTCCCCTTTCTCCTAGGAGAGTAGCGAAATTGCCCTTGCAGAATGCCTGAATCTGCTTGAAGGACTGATTGGCGTCTTTCTGTGCTGTAACAGTTCTATAATTCTATTCTGTGACACAGAATCAAAGTTTTATAAGTGTTCCATTCCCTGACAGAGATCATCATGTACAAAGCTATTCACTTTTTAAAAGTAATTTATTGAAAATTGAAGATGCATTGTAAATCACTGAAGACATTGATCCTGAGTTTTTAGACCATAAAGAATCAACCTACAGTAAGAGCCTGGAATTGTTTATAGATCACATAAGGTAGGAGATAATAGGATGTTCATGGACCAGTGCAATATTTTTGACTGTGTAGCAGTTTTCATTGTCACTTTGTGGTTACAACAAATTACCAGGTTTATTGAACTTAATTTTATGACTTGAAGTGCTGAGATTTGAAATCATAAATTTGGATTAAGGTTTAGTTTAGGAATTACTAGACACTTATCCTTCCTGCCTCCCAAAAAAAGTATGCAATTTAAATGCAAACCATGTTACCCTTCATCTTTATTTAATGTTGATGGGATCTGTTTTAAATGCCAGCGGTAGTATTTGGTGCAGCATTGTCAGAGGTTTTGTCATTCAAATGAGATGTTATTTCAAAGTTCTATCTGCTTTCTCATTTGAAGGAGAGCAGTGGAGTTCTCCCAGAGACCTTGCCAATTTTTTTTTTTTGCTAGCATTATTTAAAAAATATAAAAATATTACTTTGGGACCCAGCTATAATTCGGTCCACAGACACTGTCTTCAGACCATTTTTAGATGAGGCTGTGTTACAATGGGACTCCATTTGATGCTTTTGGTTGGAAACACATTTCATTAGGTATAAAAGATGTGTTCACATTTTTGCTTCCATTGCCTCATGATTATATCTTTTGCCGGTGGATGGCACTCAGTGCTTATACATTATCTTCAGGCATTACTGGACTGTCAGTCGTGGTGCCAGTAGGTTAATCTCTTGGCTAACACAGGAGTTCTGAGAGCAACTGAAATGCCTTTACTGCTGCCTCAACAGAACTCAGTTACAAAAATGGAAGTTCTCTTGACTTATAAGGTTTAATACCATACTTGATAAATCAGATTTCAGTGAAGGTTTTGGAGTCCACGATGGGTCTGCATTACACTGCGTTCTGTGTCAAAGCAGAGCCTCAATGCAGTTCGTGAGACTTTATTTTTAAATTAGCTGCTAAATTTTGTTTCATGAAAACAGTGACTCCAATTTAAAAGTTCTGGGATCTTCTGAAGTTGCATCAACTTAAAATAATAAATGTTCCTTGATTAGTATGTGTATAAAGTCGATAATTCATTTTTGAGGGATTTCTGATATAATGTATTTTTCCAGTCCATTTTAATTGAATCTTCCAAAGTTGTTATTATTATCAAAGGTTTAACTTAATGGTTTGTACATGAATACCAGTAAAAATCAGGCTTGATGTAATATGCTACCCAAAAATGACATACTACATTAAACAATATTTGAGTACGGCTTGTAGTTTGTGGTTTTAGCTAATTTACTAATGTATATTGCAAAGAGTTGGAATGATTAACTTACTTCATCCTTAGTAACAATGGAACAGGTGAAGTTCTGTTCTCTAGCTTTACTTACCAATCCTTTACTAACACTAAACTTCAAAATGCTACATTTTGTGGAATATCTTGTTGAATTCTGATTATGTGAAATTGCTTGCAGTTTTGCCTAAGATTGTTGAAGTCATATTGTTCAGAATTTTCACTGAATGCAATAATGACATTTCTGTTGAAGAACCTATCTATAACTGTATAACCACGTAGTTAATGGAATAGTGAGATGCTATGAATGGTATTTTAGTTGTGATGCTATGAAATTTTGTATGCTGTTATCAAAATGAGCTACTTCTCCAGTTCCAACAATTTCCCATCAGAATGTTTTTAAGATCTCATTTTAAAATGCTGAAAAATGTTTGCAAACATTGCAAGCATAAAGTAGAATTATTGAAAATAAAATAATTTGTTTAAATAAAACTAGTATAAACAGAAGCAAAAATGAAAAGTAGAGTAAATATTTCTTCGTACGTAGTGTTAACTTCGAACAAACTTGACCTGAATGGTTAATAAAGTCAAGCATAGTGTAAGATAGGCGCATAATTCAAGTATATGAGCCAAATAAAGTATTGGAGGAAATCAGGACATTAGTTGTTTTAAAAAGCAGGTTAGTCATTCAGATTCTACAATAGAATATGAAGTATTAACAATTTTTGCCATCTTATCTATAATTTATATTCAATTTAGTGACCAGCTGCACAATGATTTCTGACCACAAAATTATGATGCTGATTTTTGTAATTCTTTAGGTGAATTTGCTTATTTGTGAAGCATAGAATCTAGAACTTGAAAAGCTGCAGTGCAAGGGTGTGTGCACATATACGTGATGAAAATTTACTCTTAATCCTGCACCCAACTTATTCTGAAAGACCACATACATCTTGTGGCATTTCTACCTGATAACCATTTTATCGGTGTGGCTTTCATGTTGATTTAATTTCAAGTGCAGTTGCAGAGTGAATGTGTGTGTTGAACATGTCAGAAGTTGATAGAAAATTTTGTTGCCCTAAAGTAATGCTTTGTCACATTCCAGAATCTGACAGAGTATTTTGCAGAACAGAATGTATGACAGGATAAATCTGTATGAAACCATTTATTGAGCAGTACGGAAAGTAGCTGCAAGAAACAATGGAGGTTGACTAAGATATCATTTGGCGCTTATGAGTAATGCTCAATTCTAATGTGAGATGATGTTCAGTTTTCTGGTTATTTCTATACTTAACAAAAATGCATATATTTGTGCTGTGTAGATTTATGCCTGACTTTGTGCTTTTATTCATAAGATTGTGTCAAGTTTCAAGACCACAACTTCTAGAGCAGTCTGTCAGCTGGTGAAAGAATACATAGGACACCGAGATGGGATTTGGGATGTCAGTGTTACACGCTTGCAGCCTGTGGTGCTGGGCACAGCATCAGCTGGTAAAATTTTGTTACAGCATTTCAGTCTCTGCTTTCTGATGTTCTTTTGTCATGACTATTTCTTCTACGGCATAACTTTTTTTATTAATTTTGTTGCAACATGATAGTAATTTACCATTTCCATATATTTCACATTTTTCTAAGTTATTTTATTAAATGTGGTGTTTGAACCATGGTGTGGAATGCAGATCTTAATTCATTTGTGAAGACTAACCTTCTGATTTACTTACAAGTCCCTCAATCATGAAACCATCTCTATTCTTTAGATCACGTTCAAACATGGGTGTTCATATTGTCATCCCATAAGATGGCTACAAAATTTATTAAAATTAAGAAAAATCTTATTCTTGAAGATGTATTTTACAAAGCCATGAATAGATGTTTTGTAATGCATTTAGTACTGCCCAATGAACTGTTCCCTCAGATGTTTCCCAGGCTTTATACTTAGAAAAATGGAAACTTCAGTCAGGTAAATTATTCAGTTCTTAATTTAAAAACTGAATCTCTTGGACTTGTATTTGCACTTGAGTTTTTTTTAGCTTTGAATCATATACCTCTGTGTAGGTGCAAAAGTAAAAGCTGTTTATAAATAGGTTAAGATTAGACCACGAAGTATCTTGTGCTCTGAGGTGGTATTGTAGACACGGTGCTTAATTTGTTAACTCTTACTTGGGTTTGCCTTCATAAAAGAGAGAGAGCTAATGTGAAGGAAGATAAGAGCAAAGCATGAATGGATTCAATGTTGTTTATGTATTTCGGGCTGCTTAGAGAACCAGAGGTTCTGGCCATCATTGTCCAATCCTCTCTGGCTACTGGTGTGATGTTAGATGACTGTACTGTTGTTAAAACAAAAAGAGGAGAGGATGTATTCTATTCCAGAAAGTCAGTTAGTGAAGATTAGAACTGGGAGCCAATTTTAGCACACTTTTATATTTTTATTATTTTTTACATGTATAGCATTAGAAACCTGCTATCGTTGACATTCTTTTAATTTGTGACTGATCTCTACTCAAGCTTGCGAGTTTCTGCCCCAGGTCATTGTGTATCCAAACAGCCTGACTCTTGAACTATAGGTATTCTGCCGTGTGGAGCAGGATGCCCCACAAGTGGTGGGATATGGAGTGCAACAATTATTTCATTTTCTTCTCTGCTGCTGCTCAGCCTTGTTGCCAAGACAATTTTGACGCAAAAGAGTGATGCAGCTTGATAGACACACGTATTTTGAACGATTGGTAGTAAACGTCTTCTAGTCATTCATTTCAATGCAGTTGCACTTGAAAGCTTCAGTGTGTCATTGAAGCATTTTCTTTGCCCTCCCCTGGAAAACTGTCCTTTTGAATGTTAAGAAACTGAGCCTGTTGGGGCTGATATTTTTAACCGTTCAAGCGCACTGTCCAGTCTATCAAGTTTACCTTATGATTGTGGAGCTGGCTTCAAGAAGGACACTAGCCTTTGTTCAGTGGTCCTCCCATTGAATCTAGAGGGTGCAACACCAGAATTGCTGATGGAATTTCTCTTGAGCTTTTATATGTCACCAAGATCAGCCCAGGTCTCACTACAGTACAAGAGGAGGATGATGACAACAGTCCTATATACTAGCACTTTTCTTGACTATTAGAGGTCTTTGCTGTCCACCACTCATTGGCAGTTTGAACAGCTGCACTAGCTCAGCATTCTACAATGTTGGACTTCCTTGTCAATAGTGGTCTTTTGAATATTTAACTGATTAGATTTGGATTGATATTCAATTTTTGTTTTGGAAATGTTCAAGACCAGGCTAAGTTTCTTGTATGTAGAATTGAATAGATCAAGAGTGGCATGAAATGCTGTTGCAGAATTGACAATGGCACTTTGGTCCTTCGTCCATTGTCAATCATATATTTCTGGGGGTCAGTATAGTTCGGCCATTGAGGTGATTGAGGTTAGAGTTGGCTATCTCAACAGTATTTAATACTGGGCACCAGAGGGCAATTGATCTTTACTGAGGTTGATAATAAAGTAAGTAGAGTCGCTGTAGTCCTACCAGACCATTGACTGTTCTCTCATTAGAAAGAAACAACTGGTGGTTGTTTAACTTGGGTGTCACCGTGCCTCAGGTGAGGGGAGAGGTTGAGAGGATGATCCTTTATGGGAACCTCAGCTGGTGTGGAAATTAAACATTTATTGTTGCCATCACACTGCATTGCAAACCAGCCAACTGAGCTAACCAACCCCCTTGATGAGGTGGATAGGCACTGTCAAATTGATTATAAATAGTATGTGACTACCTCTTAAACTTACTAGACTCTGGTTCAGATTTTGAAGCTGTACATTTCAGATCTCCCACTCAAGATATTTGTTGCCATATCATAATGAAGAAATCAGGCAGCACGGTGAATCAGTGGCTAGCGTTGCTGCATCACAGTGCCAGGGACCCAGGTTCGATTCCACCTTCAGGCAGCTGCCTTTGTGGCGTTTGCATATTATTCCCGTGTCTGCGTGGATTTCCTTCCGGGGCTGCGGTTTCCTCCCACAATCCAAAAGTGTGCAGGTTAGATGGATTGGCCATGGGAAATCCAGGATTACAGGGATAAGGTAAAAGGCTGGGTCTCCGCGGAATGCTCTTTGGAGGGTCAGAGTGGACTCGATTGGCCGAGTGGTCTGCTTTCACACTGTAGGGATTCTATGAAGTTGCAGGATTGTGAAGTTTCTTGGTCATCCAGATCTTTGGAGCACAATGCAAAGACTCTCTCGCTTTACTGAATCAAATGATCAAGTTCATATAAGAAAATGTTCCTGGCATTGTTCTTGAATTATCTCTTTGACTTGCCCGGCAACAAAACCCATGCTCAAGGTATTTCTGGTAGGTCTAAATCCATCCTTTGAATTTTATTTTTCATTTATGGGATGTGAGCATTGCTGGCTAGGCCATTGTTTATTGACAGCCCCCAGTTTCCCCTGAGAAAGTGGTAGTGAGTTTCCAACTTGAGCTGAAGAAGTCTATGTGATGTAGATAAACCAACAGTTCTGTTGGAGAAGGACTTCGAGGATTTTGACTCACTGTCAATGATAAATGGTCATATGATTCCAATTCTGGATAGTACGTGGCTTAGAGGGGAACCTGCACATCATTGTGTTCCCATGTATCTGCTTTTAGCCTTCTAGACAGTAGAGTTCGGAGGTTTGCCAAAAAGCAGTCTGGTGAGTTGTTGCAGTGCATCTTGTATATGACACACAGTGCTGCCATTATGTATCTGTACTTTGTAGATGGTAGACAGGCTTTGAGGAATCAGGAGGTAAGGTACCTTGTGTGGAATCCCCAGCCTCTAACCTAATCAAATAAGCACAGTAGTTATATGGCTGGTTTAGTTCAGTTTTTGGTCAATGGAGGAATCTCCAAGTAATGTTAACAGTGGCAGATTCAGAGATGACACTGCCATCGATAGCGTGATCATCTTTTGATGGAGATGCATCTTGCCTGGCACTTTTTTAGCGTGGATATTACTTGCTACTTATCAGTTCAATTACAAATGTTGTCCAGGTGATCTAGCATTTGGATATGAGCTACTCAATTTCTGAGCAGACACAAATGATACTGAGCATTTCGGTGATAATTGCACATTGCTATATCTGACCTTATGATGGAGGGAAGTCATTGATGAAGTAGCTGAAGATGGTTGTGCCTAGGATACTACCTAAGGAACTCCTGCAGAGATGTCTTGGGGCTGAGATGATTGATTTCCAACAATTATCTTCATTTTTTTTCATACTAGGTATGATTCTAAACAGCAGAGAGTGCAAATTGACTCCAGTTTTGCTGGAGTTCTTTGAATCCAAGTTGATCAAATCCACCTTGACTTGATGCTATGGGCAGTTATCTTCACCTGACCACTCAAGTTCATCTCTTTCACCCATATTTGGACCAAAAGTCTGTAATGAGTTCAGGAGCTGAGTGGGCCTGGTGGGACTCAAACTGAGAGTTAGTGAACAGATTATTGTTAAGTAAGTGCCACCTATAATGCTGTCAATGATGCCTTCCATTACTTTGTTGATAATTAAGTGTAGACTAATGAGGGCAGTGTTTTAAAAAAAAAATAAGGAGGTTTTGTTCTTAGAAGGAATGAAAACTAACTTTCAAATGGAGGTGGACATGGGTACAATAGTCATCCAACATCATGAGTGGTTGCCTCATTGTCATTGGCCAACAAGTTTCTGACAGTTGATTGACACAGCGTAAGTTTATCTGGAGCCCAAGTGCTCAGGGGCAAAAGGAAGGCCTCATCAAGCAGTCCTTGTAGACAGCAGTTCTCACCAGTCAGTATTCATTGTGTGGTCCTCATTGGGCAGTTCTCAGATAGATGGAAGATGAACCAGAAGAATAGGAGGAAAACCCAGGAACAAGTTCCATAACAGTTTAGCTAGAGAACAAGATGCTGCTTTCACAACTTTAACGAGACTGATATATTCAGTCCCAACAGACTTTTTGTCCTCTGGTGAACCAAACCAACTGTCAAGGTTAACTAATGTCTAATTCACTAATGTTTCATAGCTCAGCTGCTGTTTAACAAATTCCATAAACTATCAGAAAATTGGTACAAATTTTTGATTGCTTATATAGGTAAGTGTGATCGTGGACACCACGCCCCCCACCCTCCAGCAATCATCAGGAGTGGCAGCAGAGTTATTTTTCCTTCCAAGTCCCTAGGATAAGTGCAACATATAATAGATTTCCACTATTCAGTAGTGGCAGCAAGTGTTGTATTCGTCATTTTTTAATGTCCAAATAGCTATCCAATTGAAAGGCCATTAAAAAGCAGTAAAGGTGCTACTTTTTATTTTGAATATATTCAGCATTGTTTTCATTGAACTGGCTCTGGTTAGGAATGGTGCTTGAATTGAAAGGTCTGACGTTTGGTACAACTGACTTTATTTGATCACCTTTTTGTGAAATTGATTTGGATATGTGAAGGTTTTCCAAATTGGCTGTGCAGTTGTAATTTCTTTTTTTGAGTTGGGCTCTTCTTATTGCTAAGACTTTGATCTTCAGAGTCCTGGATTTTGGGCCTTGCAATGTCCTGGTGCTGGTTGGATATTAGTCCCAGATTGAACAAGCCTATTATCTGCCCTGCAGACGTCAGATCCATCAATAAAATACAGATACCGACATCACTTAATACTTTGAATGAAACAATGATATAATCCAGGAGGTGCTAGTGCTTTGATCTATAATGCCTCCAGGGGGTTTTGTATTTGTCCATCAGGCAGGGGAATGTATTTGTTATCACAAGACCATGCTTTATATGCAGGATGCCGCAGAGGGGGACCAGTTCTATTTGCTTTTGTTATACTCCAATCTTGGTATTAGAGGGCCCCAGATAGATGATCTTTTCTTCTGATGGGATGGTAATGCAGGCTTCATTTCAGAATAGAACCTTTCTTTAACATCTTCATCACAGTCAAGGGTATAAGCACTGATGACAATAGCAAATTGGTTATCATAGAATCCCCACAGTGCAGAAGCAGGCCATTTGGCCCATCGAGTCCAGATCCGTCCCCTACCCTGTCCCTGTAATCCTGCATTTCCCATGGCTAATCCACCTATCCTGCTCATCCCTGAGCACTGTAGGCAATTTAGCATGACCAGTCCTTCTAACCTGCACATCTTTGGACATTGGGAGGAAACTGGTGCACTTGGAGGAAATTTACGCACACACGGGGAGATTGTGCAAACTCCACACAGACAATTTCCCAAAGGTGGAACCAAACCAGAGTCCCTGGTGTAGTGAGGCAGCAGTGCTAGCCACCATGCCACCTGTGGTTCTAATCTTGAAGCTGAAGTATCATGAGTCTTTCACTTATACATTGAAAGCTCTAGCAGACGATCAGAGAGAGATCCTGTTTTGACAGATGAAACCTATCTTGTTGACTTGAGAGTCACTAGCATCCTTTGCTTACCAATTGCTCCCTCCTTGTTCCTTCAGCTACCCCTTCCCATGGAGACATGTTTTCTCTGAGAGTGGCAATGTAATTTAGAGTCTTGGTAGCTCACGGTTGCAAGACTTCTTTGTGGGTACTTAATCCTGATTGAGATTGCTCATAAGTGTTTTAGTATTTCAAATTGAAATATTTAAAGTTTTCTTTGTTTGATCACATAGATGGTGATCCTGTAGAGGGTGGCTCCCCAGCCAGGGGAAAGTGGACAGCCTATAGTGATGATACATTCTGGAGCTGGAGGAACACAGCAGGTCAGGCAACATCAGAGGAGCGGGAAAGTTGACATTTTGGATTTACACCCTTCCTCAGCCCTGTAATAAAGGGTGCAAATCCGAAACATGAACTTTCCTCCTCCTCTGATGCTGCATGACCTGCTGTGTTCCCCCAGATCCAGACTGTATTGACTCTGACTCCAGCATCTGCATTTCTTGCTTTCTCCCAGCCTATAGTGATGGCCCCTTTTCTCAACCTCTCCCTATTTGAGGTAAACAGAGGGTGTCCTGAAGAGGACTGCTCAATTACAAATGCTGCTGCCCAAAGTCACCTCTCTCCCTATACAAATATCCAGTGGCATTCATACGACTGCTGCAAGTGTGCAGATTCTGGACTAGGAGCTTCCAGGATCACAGACCTACCCCTCTCATCAATTTTCCCTTGCCATGGGATTTGGTAATGGATCCTGCCAGAGACTCTGCATGAGTTAGCGTAGGGATTTTGAGGTATCGTCATTGTCCACATGATTTTGATGGTTTGTGGTCAGATTTCAATGATCTGTCAAAGTATATCAATCTGCACCATCCTTGTGCAGCAGATATCTTCCACCTTTGCTGTCGGTATGACACATAATCCTCTTTTGCCTGCATTGCCATTGAGAACCTTTTGGACGTTATCGCCATGAGTGCTTCTATGAGGAGCAAGGAACTCCTAAATGCATCACTTAAGTGATTGTCAGATCACACCAACTTCTCCAAAATGTCAAAGTGCTGATCCTCTTATATAAGCATTTCTTTAGAGATGCTGTCTGCCCTCGTTGTCCAGGGAAAAAATGGTTTCCATCTGCTCCTTTTTATGGGAGCATAAGTGAATCTCCAGTTAATAGCAGCATGCAATTAAATCCAATTAATAGATTAGTAATAACCTTGGTTGTGCATGAATTATTAGAAAAAAATCTGAAGGACAGTAAAGGTCATATCCAGAAATATGTGCACCAATCAAGGTCAATCAGCCTGGATTGTTGAGGAAAGGTCATGGCTGATTAACTTGATTGTTTTCAGGCATTAAAAAGGAGGATCACTGCATTTGATAGCCTACATGGATTTTCACAAAACCTCTGACAATTTCCTAAAAGCAGACTGCAGAAAGCTCAGGGGCCATGGGAATCAAAAGATCAATGTCGCTTTGGATCCAAAATTGACTGAGTGGAAACAAGCAAGGGTGATGGTTTACTGAAGTTCTTTTGTGACTGGAATGTATGGTTAAGAAGTTTGCAGATAATATAAGAATTGGTTTTGTGGTTGATTTAATGAGTAGAAAACTGTAGACTGCAGGAAGATATCAATGAAATAGTCTGGTGGAAAGTAAGGGGACAAATGGAATTAAATTTGGAGAGGTGTGAGAGCTAACAAGGAAAGGAAACACAATTAATGGTAGGACACACAAATACAGAGGAATGGATGAGCTAGAGATTGCACGTCTGCACATTGATGCAGGTGTCAGGACAGATAAATGAGGTTGTTCAGAGAGCATAGGAAATACTTCCTTTATTAGACATGACATGGAACATGATAATATTGGTGATTATGCTGGAATTGTATAAAATTCTACTTGGATTGCAATTAGCCTACTGTATACAGTTGTGTTTTAGAAGAATGTGATCCTACCAGTTAGAACATCAAAGTGACTAATATGAATTGAGAATTTTAACTAAGGACAGATTGGATTGGAAAGATTGCTGAATCTTTTAACTAAACTTAAAAATTGTTAGCCATTTATCACTCGGCGAAGGAAAGTCAAATGGCCCAATGGACGGTCCTTAAAATGAACCTTGAGGAGCTATTGGAAAGATAGAGAGCGATCTTGTCTGAAATAGGTCAACTGGATCATTTGTGAAATGAAGCAAAGTTAATGCTAAATAATAAACAATAACACAAGTTGCTGGAAAAGCTCAGCAGGTCTGGCAGCATCTTTGCAGAGAAATCAGAGTTAATGTTTTGGGACCAGTGACCCTTCCTCAGAACTGATGGTAGCTACGAAAATTTTGGTTTACTGCAGAAGATAGGGTGGTGGGCGGTAAAGAGTAAGGGATAGGTGGGGATAGAGCCCAAAGAGACAGAAGAGTTGGACAGACAAAGGAGTAGATAACGATCTGGCTAGGAGAGTGAATAGCTATTAATGGAGACTGTTAGTGGTTAACAATAAGTAGTGTGTAATGGCAGGCTATGTGATAACAAGGCCTGGTGTGTGGAGTAGGACGCTATGACATGGGACCGTTCAGGTCCTAAAATTTTTGAACTTAATATTGAGTCCGGAGGGCTACAGGGTCCCAAAGCAGAAAATGAGGTGTTGTTATTCCACTTTGTGCTGAGCTTCACTGGGACACTGCAGCAAGCCTGAGACAGCGATGTTGGCCAGGGAACAGATTGGTGTGTTGAAGTAGCAAGCAACTGGAACTTCAGGGTCATTTTTGCGGGCAGAATGTAGATGTTCTGTGAAGTGGTAAGCCAGTCTATGCTTCATGCCCCCAATGTAGAGGAGACCACATTGTGAGCAGCAAATGCAAGTAGACTAAATTGTGTGAAGTGCAGGTAAAGCGCTGCTTCACCTGGAAGGTAGGTTTGGGCCCTTGGATACTGAGGAGGGACAAGGTAAACAGGCAAGTGGTACATCTTTGGCGGTCACAGGGGAAGGTGCTGTGGGGCTGTTAGGGGGTGTTGGGAGTAAAGGAAGAGTGGAGCGGGCTGTCCCAGAGGGAACAGCCCTATGGAAGGCGGCAAGGGAGGGAAGCGGAGTATGTGTCTTGTGGTCGCATCTCACTGGAGATCGCAGAAATGTTGGCTGATGATCTGGATGTGGATGCTGGTGGGATGGTAGGTAAGGACAAGGGGAACCTATCATTGTGGGAGGGAGGAGAGGAGATGAGGGCGGAAGTGCGGGAGATGGGTCGGACCTGGTTGAAAGCCCTGTTGACAACTTTGCTGGGGAATGGCACCTTCTCCTGCAACCGCCGATGGTTTAACACCTGCCCATTGTACTCGCTTCTTGTCCAGAAAGAAACAGTGCTTATCTTTCCAAAAGAACCCCCACCTAATATTGCTACTTTTCTTTACAGATCACAGTGCTATGTTGTGGAGCATTGAGACAGGAAAGTGTCTCTTGAAATACACTGGTCATGCAGGGTCAGGTGAGATCATATTTGTGTGAGGTTTAGTAAAATAATTTGTAGTAGTTTTATTTTGTATTTAAATGTGTTGGGATCTAACCGGTTATATGTGAGGCTAAAAATAAGTACAGACATTGACCCTAAATACTTTTGCATTTAAAAGCTAAGAGAATTGGGATTAATTTAAAAAGAGTACAAAATAAATCATTGTGAATTGGCAGCCCATTTTGTTCAACAGAAGAAAAAAAAGTCAAACTCCGTATAAGGCAGGCTGATGATTCATCATTGCCCAGTTTATGCTACAGCTCAGAGCAATTTCACGACCAATATCTTTGTAAATGATTTGTGACGGACATGGTGGCATTTCACCAATGCTAAACTAGTTTAGATTGAAAGAATTTTCATGCAGTTAAGTTCTAAAATGTCAATGTTAAAAATTGGATGCATGGTCTATAAAACCAAGATTTGAACGGCAAAGCCAGCATACTGTGCTCTGGCATATTGGATTTGACTTTAATGCCCACGGCTCCTTGCATTGAGCTCCTGATGTTAGCTGCTCGGAAACGCTTGCCCACTCAGAAAATAAGATCAAAAGCAGAATCCTTCCTAAGTTGATTGGGTTTGAAAAATAGTGGTAAACTGAAAAACGGGTTGCCTCATTGTCTTTAGTTACACATGATCCATCAATGGGGAGACCAATAAGGGATGGAAGTGGGGGAAAGTTTGCCAGCAAAGTGATCCCATTACCTAAAGTGTTAGCTCCTGCATATTAGGAGCTTTTGAAGAATAATTGTATTTTATTTCCTTTTCCTTCCCTTAGTGAATTCAATCAAATTCCATCCATCAGAACAGGTAGCTCTCACAGGTACAGTATGCAGAATTGTGTTTATTATGTTGTGCAGCATTAAGTTGTAAAACTTTTTTTATGCTAAAACACATACAAAGCACTATGAATCATCAGATTATTGAACATTTCAGTACTGCAGCATTAACAATCTTAACTATCACACCCAGGGGTTGTCATTGACCAGCACTGGAGCTGGACTAGCCATATAAACAATGTGGCTACAAGTGACTAGGAATTCAGGTCAGAGATTAGGAATTCTGCAGCAAGTAACTCTCCTCCTCTTTCCTCAATGTCTGTCCACTATCTACCAAACACAAGTCACAAGTATGATGGATTACTGGCTATCTGAATAAACATTTAATGAGTGCCCTTCTCTTGTGTTTCGATTGACATATTCAACTAATGCATTCTTGAACGGCCTCAGTTGAATCTGCCCCCACCACACTTCCAGGAAGTGCATTCCAGACCATAACTACTTGCTTGTGAACAAGTTTTTTTTCCTCATCACTTTCCTTCTTTTGCAAAGAGAGAGAACAGTTCCTCCATAACTACTCTGTCCAACTGCCTATTAAAACTCCTTTTACTTTTTAACAAAAACAGCTCTAATTTCTCCAATGTTTATTCATAACTGAAGTTTCTCATCCCTGGCATCATTTTCATCTTCTGTTTTTTGAACATTTTTTGAACAAATTCACATCCTTTAAGGTAGAGCCATTTATTTTAGTGTAACTCCATTTTCTCTCAGCCAAAATGTGTCACATTACACGTCTGCACATTCATCTGCCACTTATCTTCCTACTCATCCAACTTAACAATATCCTTTTCTAGCCTTACCCTATCCTCCTGACAGGGCAAAATCATCTCACATCAATCTTGTATGCTTTTCACAAGCGACATTTATCAAATTCCTTTTGGAAGTCTCATGCCCACTACATCAACCGTATTACCCTCTCAACTCTCTCTGATTCTTTTAAAAATTATTTCCTTTAAAAAAAATACTATCAACTTTCCTTAAACCCAGTTTTCTCTTAAGTCCACACTGGCTCTCCCTTATTAACCCATACTTTTGCATGTGACTTACAAATGCTATCCTGAATTATCGTTTCCAGAGGTTTGCCTATTGTTGAAGTTAAACTGATTGATTGGTCTGAATTTGCCAGGCTGATACCCTCTCAAACTTTTGTTAATTAAGGGTGTAACAGTGCAGTTCTCCAGTCCTCTAGCATCAACCCTAAATCTCAGGATTATTGCCATCCCAGTTCAGTTACCATTCTCACTGCTTTCAATGACCTTGGATGCATTTCATTTAGTCCCAGTGCCTTATCAACTTTAAGTACCGGAGACTATCAAATACTTCCTCATTATCAATTTTAAACCCTTCTAATGGCTGAGTTTCCTCTTCTGTGACTACCACTTAGACACCATCTTACAAATTATTAATTCACTACTTCAGCCATGTCCATGTCTCTAGGTGTAAATCCCCTTTTTTTTCGTCCTTAATCAGCCTTACTCTCTTTAACCATATCTTTTTACTGTTTGTGTGCCACTGGAAGACTTTGGGAGTTACTTTATGTTAGCTGCTAGTCTTTTATCATAGTCTCGGTTTGCTACTCTAATTTCCTTTCTCACCTCCCTCCTATGTCTTAGCAATAGCACAACTGAGATTAGAAGAAGTGCAGAGTGATATTTGGACGTTTTTGGGACCTTGGTTAGTAAAATAAGTTCAAATTTAATCTTTTATTGCAAATCCAGATAATATTTGATGGGATATGATTTCCTTTCTGTTAGCTGTTTGTCTTTCGTGACATGAGTTTAGGAGGTCAGGTCTCTGGGAGGTGTGGACCTGTGTCATAAATTTTATGAGATAACAAGGTGTAGAGTTGGATGAACACAGCAGGCCAAGCAGCATCATAGGAGCAGGAAGGCTGACGTTTCGGGCCTAGACCCTTCATCAGAAATG